GAGAGAGAAGAGAAGAGAAGAGAAGAGAAGAGAAGAGAAGAGAAGAGAAGAGAAGAGAAGAGAAGAGAAGAGAAGAGAAGAGAAGAAGTTAGGAAGAAGGAGTTCAGGCCAGAGACGACAGGAAACTCAGCAAGTTGCGCAAGCACAGAGGACCCTAGTGACCCTAGTAGGAAAGGTGGTGGAGGCTCTGGGAGCTCTTCTGCTCCAACCCGAACCAGCCGTGAAACACAACGGTCCCTTGCTATTTTGCAGTTTGACTTTTGTGGACTCACTATTTCGCAGGTTTTCAAAAATAATAACCTAAATTATTTATTGCAGATTTTTCACTATATCGTGGGATTTTGTGGTAGTGTATAGTAATATATGTATGCATGATATTTATGGTTTTAATGATTTTGCCTTAAAATTATAAGTATATTAAAATGTTAATTCTAAAATATTAAAAGAATATTAAATAGAAATAAAATACATTGTTTACAATATGTATTTCTTTAGTAGATGAATACATACTGTATTGTACAGTATACATGTTGTTAAAATTACATGGGTTTACAAGTTTAGAAAATGGTTAAGGGGCTGGCAAGATAGCTCAATGGACTAAAGCGCCTGCTTAGGCAAACTTAAGCAAGCACAGGGACCGAGTTCCATCCCTGGCACCACCTGCTGTGCTGGCCCTGCCCCAGAGCGGGCTGAGCTGGCCAGCGTCCAGATGTGGTGGTGCACATCTGTAACTCCAGGGCTGGGGAGGCTGAAAACAGGAGGAGCTGCCTAGTGAGACCCTGTAACAAACAACCAAATACATTTTTTTAAAAAAACAAAGAGGGACACATAAGGGACGATGTACAGGAGGAGCAGTCACACTGGGTTCATGTGGGCGGCATCAGCGAGTGCTGGAAAGATCCGAGGCGTGCGTTGTGCTCTCTGCCTAGGTCTCCCCAGTGCCTCACGCTCACAGGTGGGGCTTTGCAGGTCTGCGGCTCACGGGCCCGACACTCACCAGGTAGCCCACTGGCGAGCTTAGAGCTGAGTGTGCTGTCAGGAGGCGAAGCCTGGTGAGCGAGGTGGCTCATTGTCTCCCCCCTCCTCCCAGACCTCTCTGCTTCCTGCCGGCCCTCCATGGACTGTGTCTCCCCCACCAGGCCCCTCGGCCCTGCTGCCCTGCCTTGGAGCTGGCCTACTACGTGATAAAGGTCAAGCTGTGAGCTAACGCGAGCCTTTCTTCCTTTAAACTGTGGGTGTCGGGTAATGTGTCTCAGAAGAAGAAAGTGAGTGTGAAATAAATAGATACGTGAAGACTTTACAAGCCTTCCACAGCACGCGTCCATCAAGAAGAGCAAAGTTCCTGTCACTGTCTGGGACAGAGATCGTAACTTTGCAGACCAGCCACACGAAGCTGTCCTGCCTACCGGGCAGGGCAGCACCAGGGGGACCATGCCCACAGGCAGATGGGTAACAGACAGGGGCGGCGCCCCTGAAAGTGGGTAACACACCGGGAATCCTGCCGGGGGCTCTACCACCCTGGCGGGGCTGGCAGCTCCCAGGATTTGGGCTTGTAGCCCTGTCCCATGTCATGTACTTTAGGTTTCCATGTCTGTTTCAATATTTAATACATAGACGCACTGTGTCCAGACCTGTACGTGTCACCTGTCTGCCACATCTAACTCAATCAGTTTGTCCTTTCTCCCGCTGAGTGAATGCTATAATGGTGCAGAAAGACACAAACCATTGTGACAGCCTCTTTCGTGCCCCATCACCTACGCATGCAACCATTTATTTTATTCCCTGGGACTATCAGTGGCATCCAGAACCACCGTTTCTTCCCACACTATGGATGAGGAGTCAGACTTCTAAAGGTCAAACACACCCACAGGATCCAATAACCACCTCACACGAAAACTGCG